TGCACTACGGCCCCGCCTGCCTCAGCCCCTGCCGGAAGCTGCCCGTGCTGCACGTGCTGGGCCGCCGGCCCCTGGACGCGGAGCGCTGCGCCGGCGCCTTCCGGGAGCTGCACCCGGACCCCCAGAGCCGCGTGGCGGTGCTGAGCGACGTGGCCTACGCCCACGCCATGGGTGAGCGCGGCTCCGCAATGCCTGCCCCTCCCAGCCCTGCCAGCGCCTCTCTCCTGCCCCTGCCCCTGCCCCGGGGCACTTCTGCATGGGGGGCCTGTCTCTGAGCCGGTCTCTCCCACAGCTGAGCTGGAGCAGCGCCTGCGCCCTGACTACCCCCACGTCGTCTTCTCCCGGCTGGTGTGCGAGGCCGACCCCTCCCCAGAGCCTGCGCCCGACCCCCCGCCAGGCCCCAGGCCCCCCCCGCTGCTGCGGCAGTTTGGGCGGGAGGTGCCGGTGGCGGCGCTGGAGGCCCAGGCCGTGTTCTACGTGGGTGGCGAGGGGCTGCCTCTCACCAACCTCATGCTGAGCTGGAACCGCTGCCCCTTCAGCTCCTTCGACCCTGCCACGGGCCGCGCCCGGCACGAGACCCTGGACGTCAACCGGGCGCTGCGGCGGCGCCTCTACCTGGTGGAGCGGGTGCGCGATGCGCGGGCCGTGGGCATCCTAGTGGGCACGCTGGGCGTGGCTGGCTACCGGGAGGCGCTGCAGCACCTGCGGGACACGCTGCGCCGGGCCGGCAAGCGCAGCTTCACACTGGCTGTGGGCAAGCCCAGCCCCGCCAAGCTGGCCAACTTCCCCGAGCTGGACATCTTTGTGCTGGTGGCCTGTGCCCAGAACTCCCTACTTGACAGCCACGACTTCTATCGGCCCGTGGTGACGCCCTTCGAGCTGGAGCTGGCCTGCAACCCTGCCCGCACCTGGACCGGCAGCTACCTCACCGACTTCAGGGACCTGCTGCCAGGTAGCGCTTCGCCCAGGGGCAGCTCCTGGGGAAGCAGGGAACTGCCCCTAGCCCGCACTGCTGCCCCACAGGCCCAGAGCTGGGACATACCCCCAACCCACACTCCTGCCCCATGGTCCTGCAGCACCTGCCTGTGGGAAGAGGCCCGAGCTGGAGCAGCCGGAGCTCCTCTGCTGCATATGGTGCTGCAGGGTGGAGGTGGAGGGTGAGCACGGGAGGCAGGGATGGACAGGGGCAGGGACAGTTTCACTCACCGCGTGGGTCTGGCAGGTGGCAGCGCGCACCTGGAGTTCCCGGAGGCGCTGGGGACAGAGGATGAGGGCGCTGACGTCTCGCTGATCACGGGGGAGCTGCGGGCAGCGCGTCTCAGCATTGAGCCCGTGCCCCTGGCCAGCACCGCCCTGGCCTGCCGTAGCCAGACCCTGGATCTGGCCGAGATCAGCCCAGCTGGTGGGTGCTTCATCTACGTGTCCCCTCCCTGTGGCTCTCAGGCCCTGGCACTGCCCCCAAGCCATGCTTCTGCCCTGTGGCCAACGGCACCCGCGGTTTGGGGCTGGGGCACCTGGGAGCCATGCTGCGCTGGTGCCCAAACAGGGCCGTGTCCCACCACCCAGCCCAGTGACACTTGCTGTCTCTCCCCAGCCTCCTTCTTGCAGTCGCGGAGCTGGCAGGGCTTGGAGCAGCAGCTTGGCCAGACACCAGTGCGGAAGGCAGTGGAGGGGCGCCGGGGCATCGCCATCGCCTATGAGGACGAGGCCTGTGGGTGACGCCAGCCAGGAGGAGATGCTGTGATGTCCCGGCCTGGCCTCTGGGCACTGCGGCTCTTGGGGGAGCAGAGACCCCCGGGCTGGGCCCGGGCCTGGCTCCCTGGGGCCCAGACGGGGGCGGATGGGGGAGACTTAGTCCTACCTGGGCCCTGCTGTGTTGCATTAAAGACTGGACAGATCTTAGCGTGGCGGCTGCCATGGGTCAGGGCTGCGTCGTCCCTGCCCTTCAACCCTGGTGCCAGCACTGGCAGCAGGAGCTAGGAGGCTGCCCCGACCACAGAGCCCAGCCCCATGGTCCTTGTCCTTGCCCCAGGTCCAGTGGCTGCTCCTGCTCATTTCTCACCTCTCGGCTAAATTGGGGCATTTCAAACACTTGCTGGTTGCCACAGCAACGGGCTATTCTGGGTGTTGCTGCGCTGGTGCTGCATCATGGGGTGGGGGGTTGCATCCGCTGTCCCTGGCCTTCCAGGCTAGTGCTGAGGCCCTGCTCCTTCACGTCGGTGGCTGCAACAGGCCTGGACCTCCTGTGTAGGCCCAGCCACCCACCCATGGTCCTGTGGCTGGTGTAGCCAGAGGAAGGGGCAAGTGAGGAGGTCCCTGCCCCAGGGCTATCAGGCAGGATGAGGCCAGCAGCTGGGGCTCAGAGCATTTCACCCTTGTGCCCCGGGCAGTAGGGCTGTGTGAAATGGCACCATTCTGTTTTGCCTTGCGTTTCAATGGAATAGCGTTTCGTTTCGATTTGAAACTGCTGTTCTGATGTTTTGCCTGTAGCCTATAATGGGGAAGCTCGAAACAGCCTATAACTGTCATTTCTGGCTTGATTTGGATGAAACTTGCAGGAATGGTAGCCTCTTAGGGCATGGCATGTGCCATGTTTCAATGAGTTAGGTGTAGGGGTTTTGGGGAAACTGTACTTCAAAGTCCTGAAAGGAAAACTCATGTTGGCTATGTGGCAAGGCACAGTAAGTATTTTTACTGAGGCCACGAAGCCTGCCCAGTTTCAAGGAGATCAGTGCAGGGGTTTGGGGGGAGCTACACCTCAAGCTGTGGACAAGCAAAACTTGTGATGTGGGTGACACTGTGTTAAGGTGCAGTGGGGCGAAAGCTGCAGGGGTGCTGGCCCCTGCTGAAGCCACGAAGCCTGCCAGCTGTCGAGATGGGTGCAGGGCTCCTG